CCATGCATAGTTCCATGAACCGCGATAACTGGGCATCATTGCTGCCTTTTGTCCAACTGGCTTACAACACGTCATTTAGCTCCACCATGCATGAAACACCATTCTTTCTTATGTTTGGTCGGAAGCCACGACTACCAGTTGACATTATCCTCGGCATCCCTCATGTGGGAACAACAGCGAATACCGAGGAATTCTCTAAAACAACACAGGAAAATCTACAGGTTGCTTTTGAACTAGCGCGCCGTAACCTATCGGAACGCACAAAAAAACAAGCTGCTAAGAACGCTAAACTGCGCCCTATCCCTGTGTTTAAACCTGGTGATCTAGTACTTGTGTACCGCCCATACCAGGATTCGGATGGACCAAATCCGAAATTATTGTTACCGTGGAGAGGACCTTACGTCATCTGCTCTAAATTATCACCGGTGGTATATAGAGTGAGACGCCAGAACGAAACTCGAGAAGTTTCGGTCCATTTAGCCCACATTAAACAGTACTACGCGAGGAAAACGCCACCTGCGCCAGACTTTGATAAGCTTTCCGAGTTTTTCTTAGGACGCCAGATTCCGTTGCCCGAGCTAGACCATCCCGACGAAGCTCAACCGAAAATTGAATCCTACGTCGTTGACAAAGTGGTAAGTCATAAGAGTGGTAAGGGGCCGAAAACCCCGTACAACTACAAGTATCGTTTGCGTCTTCGAGGCTACGGCCCTGAGTCAGACCTTGAATATAGAGCAGACGAAATTCCACAATGTCAAGAAATGATATCTGCCTACCGAATCCGTTGTGGTTTGGAAATCGTGCAGCCTAATAAATCGTCGTCTCGTGCCCCAGTTGAACAGGGAGACCCAAAATCACCCAGTAAAACAGGGAGACGAAAACGAAAACAGGCAGCTACTCCTCAAGAACCTTTTAAGTCGGAAATTGGCAACGCAAAGTGGCTCTGAGCCACCGAACAAAACCAAGAAGCGACGAAGAAGGCTCCTAAAGGAGGGTCCATTACCCAAGTCGCGTTCTGCTACGACACAGAGTGATACTCAATTGCCCTGCCGTACTAGCAAACGAAAACGAACTAGGGCCCGGAAATTAAACGATTGATTTATTCTATCGTTCCTAACAGTTGCCATGTCTATCTTTTCCGAGACTTGAGACAAATTTATACTACTATTATTCTGTGTTATATATATATATTTAGCACAGGACCAGTAGCCACGGTGGTTGGTTGTATCCAGTGGAAACAACCTATTTTTGAAGTGTTTGGGGAAACACTCGCGAGGAGAATTGAATGATACCACCGCTGTCCCAAGATCTTATTTTTTTATGAATAGATCTTATTTTTTGATGAATAGATAAACTTGCCAGAGGGTCACCTCATTACAAGTTCATCCTCCATCAATATCTTATTTTTTTGATGAATAGATAAACTTGCCAGAGGGTCACCTCATTACAAGTTCATCCCCCATCAATACCTTATTTGTGATGAATAGATAAACTTGCCAGAGGGTCACCTCATTACAAGTTCATCCCACCAAGATCTTATTTGTGATGAATAGATAAACTTGCCAGAGGGTCACCTCATTACAAGTTCATCCCATCAAGATCTTGTTTTTGATGAATAGATAAACTTGCCAGAGGGTCACCTCATTACAAGTTCATCCTCCATCAATATCTTATGTTTTGGTGAACAGATAAACTTGCCAGAGGGTCACCTCATTACAAGTTCATCCTCCATCAAGATCTTATTTTTCGATGATGAATAGAGAAAACTTGCTAGAGGGTCACCTCATTACAAGTTTATTCCTCATCACGATATTATTTTATGATGAAAAGACAGACTCGCCGGAGGGTCACCTCATTACGAGCCTATCTTTCATCAACCCCACAGCATTATCATGCGAAATATTTTAGTACACTAGCTGTCATCTTGATAGCCCAGTACCCACAATTTTTTTTTTCTAGACTATACTAGTATGGACCACATCTATCACTACTCTGTCTGAAGACTCCGTGTTTTTTAACACGCGTTGTATGATAATCAGGCCGAGTTGATGATGTTGTACCAGGTAGGTTAACTCCAATACATGTGTCTCCATGAGCCACTCATGTCTATGGCCGCCAAAAGCACATCTTTAGCACAGATGGACTTGTGGCGCATAGAGGGGGGGGTGATGTGGAGGACACCTGTCAGGAGTATAACCAACCATGTGTGCACATACAAAGTGTAGGAAGATATGGCTCCCTCGGGGTATCTTGTCACAAGGAGAGTGACAGGAAATGCACCGTCGGAGATGGATATCTTCCGAAGTCCCTGGCCACTTGCCGAAAGTGGAAGCGGAGAGTCTTAGACTCTCCTCTCCCTCTGCCGCTATGGCCACTCTCTCTTTCTACCCTCTTCTCCTCGTTTACACATCACGAGAGGAAATAGCCTTCCCCTGGCAGTGGGATAATACTGCCACGGCACCGGCATCTGTCTCCGACAATAGCCAGTGTCCTCAATGATGTGATTTTAATGGTCGCAAGATCCCTCTCTCTCTTCTCTCTTCTCACTCCTCCTATACATACCGGTCATGTGTGTTGTGTGTTGCTTGGATAGGCATGCAGTGCCAGCCCCAATTGTCCTCGCAAGAAAGCGAGAGTCAGATTCTTGGAAAATCAACAAAGTAAGTTTCTACAGACCAGATGTGACGTGGAAGTAAATTGAGTTCAGCAATCTAGAGTGAATGTGTGAGAAGCGTGTTTGATTTTCAAGGCAAACTCAGACGGGTCGAAGGCAGATGATTCTGTCCCGCAGACCGTCGTTTGGCCTCCGGCCTCCACCTGCTCTCCCCCTCACAAAGTCTACATTAAATGCCCGCGTGTGTGGCCTTTGTTGTGCTGTGTGACCCCGGCCGGGTACGTCCGAAAAACCATTCCGAGCGGTGAAATAACTTGCATCTTCAGTCTAAATGGGATGGCAGCACAAGACACGTACACATGGTCGTTTGCTGTCCCGCTATTGGACCAACGTCTGTTCGTTGGTCAGCCGGTCGCATCGCAGTCAATGCCATGTATAGTGAAACGAACTTGATCGAGTTGTTTCCATGACTGCTGTAGGCTTAGAACCGGCGCCCCGTGCCGAAAGGGGTGCGTGGCCAACGGTAACCATGCCTTGAAGGGACGCACCAATTGAGCCCCTCCCATGGCCAAACAACTACGGCATGCCCAGCAACACTATGGGTACACTCCCCCGCTCCCCCCGCACCCCGGTTCCAAGCAGACGATGTCGGAGCCGTCATGGGGGATGTTGGTTCGTACTCGTGCAAGATGGGCTTCGCGGGCGAGGACTTTCCCAGGGCCTACTTCACGTAAGAAGGCGAACCGGCGGGGGGCATCGCCGTTTGGCATTCGGAGAGAGGAAATGCGAGGGGCGGGGGGTGGGGGGTGGGGGGTGGGGCGCAGTTGGCGTGGCCCCGACGGTGACGCGGTGCATTCGTGCATGCCAACTTTCCCTTCGTACTCGTTGTTGTATCCCTATCGAAAATTCGTGTGATATTTGTCAGCTTCCCCTCTCTGGACCTGACGAGAAAGTACCTCGGACACCAACGTCAACAAACACGGCACGCTCTACCATCACAATACATTACAATGTTCTCAGAATCAGGTATGACCCCGACCTTTTATTCCCCCCGCACCCCATCGAAACACCACCGACAACAGCTGATCGGCAGAACGGTAGACTTGGAGGCCACGCGGCGCTTAGAAGCAAAGATGGACGCCGCCGTTGACAGCGCCTGGAGCCCCGCAAGAGCGGGGGCGGGGGGCAACGGCGAGGAAGCTGGACCCCCCCCACCCGCAAATAGGAAGCTCCAGTGGGGAGGCAAGGGGGCCACAGCTTCGCCGATCGCGCCGGGGGGCTCAGGGGAATCAAAAGGGGCGCGGCGAACGGAGATGAGAACGACGAAGGGGACGGGAGGACGGTTCATCGATGGCACGTGAATAGCTTGATGGGCGGCGGGGCGGACATGGACGTAGTGCCGCTTATGGAGGACGGGTTCGGTGAGAGATGGTTGGTTTTCTTGTTGGCTCTTTCTCGCAATGAGTGATCTTTTGGTCGAGATTCGAGGATACTCTGTGTGGCAGTGTGGAAACTGAGGGAAAGTTACTCAAGAGTGCTGTGAAGCATTGCCCAGACGGCATGGGTCTTTCTCTTTAGTGACCACACGGTTGTACCGATGGGTTGGTGGGCAGTTGGCACTCCGACAAGTGATAGACGCTTGCTTGTGGTGTGATGTTTCTTCTTGCTCAGCAGCAGGGCTGGCAGCACCGATAAAATTGCATTGCTTGACACACACGTGTTCCTTCGACGAAGGTGCCGATAGCCAGCATACGACTATTGACGCCGAAGCAACAGCAGTAGCGCGAACCAGCGACGGTCGTAAAACGTTTAGGACAAAGCAACGTCACACACGTCGCTGGCATCCGTCTCTTTCGTTTCCGTGCTATGTATACAATTGTATGCATATATCATCCTTGTTCGGGTGTCAGTGACGGACCTGGACCTGATGGAGAAGGTGTGAGAGCACGCCGAGCAGACTCGACTCAAGACGAAGCTGTCGGGCCACCCGGTTCTCATCTCGGAGAAGCCTTTCAACTCTTCAAAGGAGAGGATGGAGTACACGGTGAGGAAACCGCCTTCGCCCTGCTTGCAATAACTAGGCGCCGGCAAAGCCATCCATGCTGCTTGTGCTCATCGGCGTCGTCATTGTAGTAGTAGCTGTTGTTGCTGCTGGTATTTTCGTTGTTTTGACAGCTGCTGTTGTTGATATTTGTCCTTCGTACTCACAGACCCAAGGATTTATCGTATCGACCAAGTGGTGCTGAGCTATCTTGGCGAGCTGGCTGAGAATGCCGTTCCTGAGTGTTGTTTGTGAGTGTGGGGGCATTTCACGAGCTGCGCCGATATCGAAAATGGCTCGTTTGTGGTATGGAAAACCAATAGGTTCGTGTCGCATTTAACCCTGGAAAGCATGGGAAGGGGACCCGACGCTATCCTCTCTAGATTCCTCTTGCATGTGTGTGTGTTTCCTCTCGACCGGCATCATTTTGGCCTTCGCTGCCCCGCAAGGAGTTGGAGACGTGTGTGCATGTGCGTCTCCCGGAATTCCCTGTTGGGTAGGGCGGTGTGGCCTTAGTATCGCGCCCCCCCCCCCCCCCCCTGCAAATCGCTTACATACCCCGCAAGGAGTTGGAGACGTGTGTACATGTGCGTCTCCCGGAGTTGCCTCTTGGGTAGGCGGTTTGGCCTTCATATCGCCTTCCCCCCCCGGCTGATGTTGCACGAGAGATGGGCTGTGTAACCCGGCCATACCCTCCCTCTCCCCTGTCGCGAGAATATATACAACCCGGCTATGCACCCCCTGCCACTAAGATTATCCTACCCGAGTGAAAATCAATGCTATCACTGGCTGTTTTAGATACACAACAATCACCCCCCTCCCATCGGCTGTGCAAAACTCTCTATCCATTCACGCACCTGGTTAGGATATGATGTTCGACAAGTTCGGCGTTCCGGCGGAGTTCATGTCGAAAGACGCGGTGCTTGCGTGCTTCTCTATAGGTCGGACGACGGCGTCGCTGGTAGACGTGGGGGGGGACATCGCGGTAGTGACACCGGTGTACGACGGGTGAGAGAAAGTCTCCGGTCTCATCGTTTGCTGGCTCGGGGGGGGGGGGGTCCGCAGGGTCTCGTATAGTTTGTTGTTGGTTTGGTACGGGGGGGGTTGAAAGGGTGGGGATGATGTTGTTGAGCACGGCGGGGGGGGCTGGTGGGCACTTTACGTCGACCTGATTGGGTGTTTTTTGTTAGGTAGTCCTTGCATGGCATGCAGGTCAAGCCGATTTTAGCCCTTTGAACCGAACAAATAAATATGAAGACCATTTTTTCGCAGTTGTATGCAAAGACTGACGGGGTTGGCGGGGTTGAGTAGGTCTTACCCCCTGATTGACGAATCGCAGGGGTTCGATGCCTCCCCCAAGCCATCGTGTACCTCAGTCAAACTTTTTTTCCAACGCCGATGTTTTTTGAAAGACTGGTCAGACCAACTAACTATTTAAGTGCTCGGCTACTTCTCGCGCTTCCTGATTGTATTTTACCAGCGAAATAAATAGACTATTCTTATTAGGATAATTATATACAAAAACAGAAAGAAAGACTACCCTTTCGATATATTACTACAGAAGTATGTGGCTAGTGGCGGGGTCCAATGGTCAGTCAACCTGCATGGACTCCCTAGGGGCAAGTTTTTTTAAGGGTGGGTCCGATTCTCTCTCCGGATGTTTCATGCCCGCCCGTGATATATTTCCAGCAACCTGCGGTCGAGAGTAATCCAGGTCGTGGGTATACAAATCAATTCGACTCCACGGTCGAAGAGGCAAAAGGATGGATGGGTGAACCCTCTTCTCGCCATAAATACTAAGGCAAGTACGGCAGGAGGAAGGACGGGTGGGGTATAGGCAGTAAAAGCAAACAAAACAAGAAATTAAAAAAAAAGGCCCGTGCCGTGTGACCTTCTTCCCTTCGTTCTCGTGTCGTGTGACCCCGTCATAAGGAGGACCCGATTCGCAGGGTGTCCGCCGATTGACGTTTTCTACAAGAATCGGTACACACCTTCGCACATGGCGCCGTCTAGAACACGAGTTCGAATCTCCCTGTCTGTGTGCACGTTTTTCTCCCGACTTGGACATTTACATTTCCCATGCACCCGGTCGCCCCGCCCGGTGGTCTAGTTGGTAACCTCGAAACCTTCTAGAGGTCAGGTCAAGGGTTCGAATCCCGGCGTACGCGAGCTTTTCTTGCAAAGTGAGTTTTTCTATCGATCCGCTTTTGGCCTACCTATTGGATAGCGCTAGTTCGTGTGTACACACCAAGGCCTCCGACAGGGATGCAACCTGGCCCCGCTGCTGTTCAACTTGTTCTTTGCCGCGATGCTCATGGTCGCCGTGGTCGAGTTCGACAAGGACCCCAAGGTAACGGCGGACATGGTCAAGATCGGGACACAAGTGGAGTACACGGGCAAGAAGGGCAGGTCGGCGGGGAAGAAGACGATGGTGGTGACGGACGTGGAGGCCCTGTGGGCCATGCTCTACGCTGACGACGCGGCTATCGTCTCGCGCTCGCCGGAGAGTCTCGAGAAGATGATGTCGGTCATCGTGCGCGTAGCCGGCCTGTTCGGACTGATGGTATCGGAGCCAAAGACGGAGATCATGTGCATGCACGTACAAGCAGACAGATCGGTTTGTGTACCTCGGACGTACCATCTGCACGGACTGGAAGGCCGACCGGGAGATCACGAGCCGCAGCTGCCGAGCGTGGAAGTGCTACCGCCGGAACAGTGCTTCGATGTACGACAGGCGACGGGCCGACCGCCAGCTCAAGATCCGGCTACTCCAGGCTGAAGTGGTGGAGACTCTCCTCTACGGGTGCGCCTCGTGGAGCCTAACAGCGGAGCACTACACGAAGCTCAATGAATGGGACCCACCGCCAGTTCCTGACACGGTGCATCGGCTGGAACAAGCGGAAACGCTCAGACCGCCCCCTGTCCTATGCCCAGGCCCTCATCCAGGCCGGCTGCGAGGAAACCATCGAGGCCACCGTGCGCAAACGGAGACTGTGTTTCGCGGGCTTCGTAATGCGCATGGAGGATAACCGCCTCCCCCAGCGGATACTGCTAGGAGCGATGGCGGGGGGCGTGGGATACCGGGGCGGGCAGGAGAGCGACTGGGTGTCTCGTGTAGGAGAGGACCTCGTGGCGTTCAACATGGGAGACGAAAAGGAAGGGGGGAAATGGAAAGAGAGCGCCAAGGACCCGGAGGCGTGGTACAACAAGGTCGAGGACGGGGTGGCATGGTTCATGAGGAAATGGCACAGACAGGAGGCGGAAGCGTCCGCGAAGCGCCAGCGCGTGAGGGAAGCAGAAGCAGGGAGTACGGCCATCTCGGGACCGAAGAGAAAGAGAGTCGGGGAAGCGGCGGTGGGGGGGAAGAAACGGTGACCGGGTGCTGCTGCTGCTGTAGAAGCGAGTAGGGCGGCCGAGGCAGCACTTGTGGCGAACTATGTACCCGGCTGATGTTGTTGCGCCCTGTTCTCCTCCCTGCTGCTGTATGCTATACTCCTGTATGTCCTTTGTATTGCCTTCGGCCTCAGTGCTGTGTTTCTTTTTTCTTGTCCTCCCTGCCTACTCTGCCTTGTTGGGTACCTTGATCGCCCTTTTGCTGTTGCTGTTGCTTTTATACAGATGGCTGTCTGCCCATCTGCCGCCTCTTTGTTCTACTGACCCCATTACTCCCATGCCCCGGTGCGTAGTGCCTGATGCTGGTACGGTACCCTTTGATTTTTTTTAGGCGGGTGTGATGAGAAGCGCTCCTTTTTCCCTTTTATTTTTGCCTTTATTGGTTTCCTAGGGCTCCTTTTCTCGACTGGTCGGTGTGGTAGCTGTTCTTTTCTTTCTATCATTTTGTTTTCTTTTTCCGAGTGGTTTGTACTCTATTCTTGTTATGTTTCCCCCGCGGCGTCGTATGTGCCGGGTTTTGCGACCACGGGCTCCACATTTTTTTGGACTATAGAGCTAATGTGAGAGAAACAACAACAACAACAACAACAGCAACAACAACAGGGAAGAGAGAGCTGAACTCTTCTCGCATGAAAAATCGAAGGCAAAGTAC